GACCCCGCCAATATTGCATTTTATCTGGGGGCACGCACTGACGAGCCAATCCAGCTTCCGTGTAACCAGCGAGGCGCTGCATTCCGACCACTGGACATTCTTCTTGCGGTTGATCCCCTCGAGGCGGGTGCCCCCGCAGGCGCCCCCTCCTAGGGGGAGCGACAGGTCCATTAGCTTGCCATGGCGGGGGCTTTGGAAATCCCGCGCCAGGAGGACGAGGGCGCTGAAAACCGCTAGAGCGAGCGCCACTGGAGCGGGCGCGCACACGATCAAGTGAGCGACTGGGGATCCGACCGCGACGTATCACGCGATCGCTATCTTCCCACTCGTCGCCCTCGTCGCCGGCGCGATACTTCATCCTCCAGACCTGGCGGCTTACCGATCGCTTCTGGCGGCTCATAGACCGATCTGAAGCAACGCAGGCATGCTGAAATTCCTCATTAAGGCCAAGCTCATATTGAACACGCTCGGATAGATCACTAGCGTCTCGCGGGCTTCCCCGCGCAGGATCATCGTCACTCAATTCCATATTTGTCGTATTTCCAATAACCCGATGATAACGCATCAACTGCATGTCCTCGTCTGTTGCAGGAATAGTGGCTTCTGAATCGGCGGGTGCCCCCGCCATGTCGGCATCTCCTCCGGCAAGCATGTGGAAGTTCTCGACAAATTCGATATCTGCAGGTTGCCCCGCGATGGGTATGCCCAGCCATTCTGCCAGATCGATGTCGCTGTGGCCCGTCAACACCACCTCCTCGAACAGCTCGTCGGCGTAATTCTCGAGGGTCATACTGGCGCTAAGGTATCTGGCAGCCACGAAGTTAACAACAGCAGCTGAGCTGTCGGCAGGGTCAGCTAAAAGAGACTCCCAATCAACATAATGAGTGTCAGAGTCAGTTCGAGCCAGATGTATTCACGGACCCCTGCCTCTCCCATCGCCTTGAGGGCACTCGCGGCGAAAGTGCTGTGTGCTGTGGCATATGCCGCACTCCATAGTCTTACCATTGGCATCCTTCGGGTTTCCCCGACGTCCTTTACCTTTTCCTGATGCATGTCTGCGGTTTCTGCCTGCACCTTAAAACATTTCTTCATACCATGGTCCGGTAAGGGGTGCTAGGAATGCTAATATGCCTCTACCATGCAATCGCCGACGCTAACCTTTCCCTTTACTTCGACCTCTGCCTTTTCCTTTGAGTGCTCGTCGCACGATACGCTGCACCTTTCGGGCTGGCTTCTTCATGAACCACCGCCATCGACGACGCTTGTGTTTGTGGTATCCTAGAAATAACCATTGCGCTTGTTGCTCTTCCGTAAGGCATGTAGGCATATCCGAGTAGTCAAGGGCTGTGGCTTCATTGTCCGAAGACGCATCGGCATCAGCACCGGAGCCGAAATCGGACTCGGCGGGTTGCCCCGTTGAGCCCATTAGGGTCATGGCACGCGCGGGGGATACCGCGTCGGGCGGCCCCCGAAGCCTGGCCCAGGAGTCTTGCGACCCCGAAGCGATTCCACCATTCTGAGCCAGCAGTGTAGTGGTCTCAGTTGGCTGTGGATCATCATTCCAGACGTTGTTAGCAGGCTGCCCTGCGTTAGCCTCCACGTGGAAGGTCTCGGTTCGGTGACCGTGACTGGAAATACCACCAATAGCCAGGGGTTCTCTCAGTAATGTGAGCATATGACCTCGTACGTTCGAGTAGAGCGTCAAATTGTTGTTGCTCTCTCGGCATGTGGTGGTTTAGAGGCTGCAAGAGTAGTTGTGCGCGCGGTGCCCCCACGAAAAGAGCTCAAATAAAATCACTGTTAAGATTTGGAAGTTGGGGATATTGAAGCCTGCCGTTTCAGATTCATAGCGGGCTATCTCGAAACGTGCTAACGTCTGGTCGATGCGTTCCCCCGCATGGACTCGGAAGTCAATGAGAGCTGTACCAGAGTTGAGTTGGCGCTCCTCTTCTAATTCTCGAACTTCGTGCTTAAGAGGAACATGATGTAGGTGACGCCGTCGGTATGGCGACCGCCTATGTTTACGCCAAAGTTAATAACTGCTGGGGGAACTCTCATGGCTACGGTTCGTGCGAGGCCTCCCACACCTCGCTGCAGAGCTGCAGCCTGCTGGGAGGGCGTCATAGTGCTTGTGGTCACGTTGATCCAACAAAAAAGAGTGTAGAAGCGCAGGAATGTAGGATATAAGTACGAGACCTCCGCTTGAGCAGAGGTATCGCTGCAAGTGTCCTTGCGATAATGCGTAGCTATATACATGTCTCCTCCGCGCAATCCCACTGCACCCTGATGTTCCACCATGTCCGTAGTCCACCAGATAGTGCCGTTGATGGTGAGGAGTAGAGCAAGAGCTGACCACCATAGGACGGCTCCGCTACCAAGTTTGAAGGGGGCTGGGAGGCCCAGCCAGCAGTTTCGCTTCAGGCGAAGCCAAGCTCCTGCTCTGTTGTACCGTAGTAGCGATAGTCCCAGTAGGAAAGGATGTGCCATCTTAAGCAATAGGAAGATCCTTTTGGTCTCGATAGCAATCGTGTACCTCGCGATGAGGCACATTCATATCTGGACGGCCAGCCGCTTGAGCCGACGCGGCCGCGGGCGCACGCTCGCTTCCGCTCCTTACGTCCCTCAGCTCGCTTTAGATCGGGAGGGGGTCTGGCTCCGGACCTCTGCTAAAGGCGACTGTTTGCAACAGTGTGTCCGATGGGGGACTCCACCTGCTAGAAACATGCGCCAAAAACAGCCAAGATCTACTCCAGGAGGGGGGGAGGGGGGGGCGCGAGGGCCCGTGCCGATCGGCAAAACAATGAATAAGAAAACAATCACCAACACCTGAGCTGTTTCATCTGCGCCCCCCGCCCTCAGCGGCCCTCACGCGGAGCTCCCGCGCGAGGCCCGCGCCGAGGACGGGAGGCGCGGATAGGGGCGCCCCAAACTAGATCCGGCATGGCCCCCAGGTGGGCCCCAGATGGGGCGCAGAAGACAGAAGGATCCAAGGACGGCCTCCCAGAAATAATTTCGAAAAAGCCGCAAGAAGAGGCCCCAGGAGGCCCCCAAACGGCTCCCAAGCGGCCCAATGACGCCACGAACGCGCAGGCAAACGCCTGTGATGGCACAATACGGGCCGGCGGAATGAGCGAAGCGATTGAATAAGTTCGAGCACCCGGAAAAGTATCGAAACAGTGTCTGCCCGACACGATGGCGAAGTATCGAGCGAATATCGCCCCCCAGGGCCCGGCACGTGAAAACCCTCCAGTTTCCGTACTTTCTTGGTGCTCGAAGGTCGAAGTTCTTTCTGGCGGTCAAGGCTGAAGTGGGCAGGAGCAGCAGAACATCCCCCTCGGAGGCGTGCGCCCGGACCGAATGTAGACAACCATCTTGCAGCATATAAAACGACGCGAAGATCGGGACAAAATCGGATCGGGATAGCTCGAAATCTCTGAGAATCGGCGGGTTTGGAGGATGTATTGGGCGCCGCGGCCGCTCCAGAGCGTTTTATCCCGATCCTAGCCCTGTTTTAGCATACCCTTTCCCGAGCGGTCCGGCCAGAAAGCGGCTACAGGACCACCAGCACGCAGGACACGGGCCCCGAAGGCAACGGGCCCCTGGGCCCGCCGGGAGGGCGCAGAGGCCACGACGGGCGGCGGGCGAGCATGCTGCCCTCCTTTCGCCGAGGGCCTCCCCTCCGGGCTTCGGGCTCGGGCTCGCAGGCTCGGGCTCGGGCTCGGGCTTCGGGCTCGGGCTCGGGCACGGGCTTCGGGCTCGGGCTCGCGGGCTCGGGCTCGGGCTTCGGGCCCGGGCTCGGGCTTCGGGCTCGGGCACGGGCTCGCCTCGACTTCCCCGATCGCTCCCGGGAGAGGGGGGGAGGGGGCGCCGAGAGGCTGAAGAGGCCGCAGGGGGCCCAGGAGGAGCCGCCTCGCACCGTCGGGGGCGTCTGAGAGGGGCCTGGCCCCCAGAGCGTTCCCACGGGACCGATCCTTGCATCTTGGGTCGCTTTGTCGACGACTCCAGGGCCCGTGGAGGGACCCGCTTCCCGAAGGACTTGCTTTCCCTAAGACGAAGCAGGAACGAGGATAAAATCGGGCGGGGGTAACAAAAAGAGAATCTCTGAGATCCGGTGGCTATGGAGGATGTTTCGGGCCCCGCGGCCTTCTCAGAGCGTCTCTGGAACGGATGTATCCTCGTCCGAGCCCCGTCCGATCCCGCCTCGCAGAGTGGACCGACGCCGAACTGAGCGACGGAAAGAACGGGGTCTTGCACGAGATGGCATAGCGACCTTGCGCGGTGGCTTACGCGGGCCGCCAGCGCAGCAAGCTACGTTGGAAGCCAGGGCGCAGACGCCGCCAAGAGCGCGGACGCCGCTGTATGAGAGAGAAGAAGCGGGGGAGGCAGCGGACGGCAGCCAGGAGGCAACGGAGAGGCACAAAAACAGCAAGGCACGGGCAAAACCCTGAGATCCTGGCGTCTCAACTCTTTCGAGCTGAGCGCTTCCGCCTGGTTTCGGGACCCAGGAGCCTCTCAGATCGATCCGGCTCGAGAAATGGCGCAGAATGATGTGGTCCGAGGCTCCGGCCGTGATTCTGTACCCAGACATCCAGCTGCTCCAATTGTTTCGATGCGTGGGCCCCAGAGGTCTGGACCACTTCCCTAAGGCCAGTTCTTTGTCCTGACTCATTTTTTGACGGTCCCGAGGCCTGGCGAGGGCCCCCTGGAGGCCGCATTCAACCAAAAACCGCCTCCTCCAATTTGTGGGAGCGTCGGATCTCTGGGCACGATGTTTCAGTTCTTTCGCGCCGTCGGATCTCATGGAAGTCAGGACCAGTTTCCCTGGGGACCCGCTTGTCACTGCACCGACCTTGCAGACGTGCTGCAGCGGATATTCGCGTGGATTTCTGTCAATGGAAAACCCGAAACTGCGAGCGAAAAACGAACTGAAATTCACGTGGATTGTTTTGTAGTCTTCACTCCTGGCCGAAAGAGATCCACACGAGATTGACTTCGACATCCGGGACGACACTCTCCGGGACAATCCGGGCCCACACCATTGCTGTCCGAGCGAAATCCGCTCTGCGATGTTGGCGCCATGGCGCTTGCAGGGAAGCAGCACAGGGCAGCAGAGGAGGCAGAGGGCCGCACGCCGCCCATCATCGCAGCGGCCTCCTCCAGGCTCACGGCGCGAGGCAACGCAGACCGCCCGGCACAGCCACACAGGAGATGCCCCGCGGCCGCGCAGTGGATCGCAAGGCGTTGTCTTCTCGTCGACGGCGAGCCTCCAGGAAGGCTTTCTCAGAAGGGCCCCTCAAGGGGCCCCTAAAGGGGCCCTCCTAGGGCCCCTGGAGGGGGAGTGAGAAGGAGGAGGAGGAGAAGGCCTTGCCAGACGGCAGCGGGGTTTCTCAGAAGGCCTCGGAGCCTTCTGAGAGGTTGTTTGTGCCTTCGGGGAAGGCTCTGAAAACTTCTCAGAAGGCCGGCGGGCTTCCGAGCCTTCTGAATGCCGCGCGATGGGTTTTAAGACGTTGTCTCAGGAGGCAACTGCTGGGAGGTCTTCGTCGGAAGGACTGAGGAGGAGTAAGCCCCATTGGGGGGCTGCTACGCAGAGGGAGGCCGCGGATTATAAGCGGGGTTAAGCCAGATCATGCGGGATTCAACTGGATTAAGCGGGATTATACCAGAGCAAGTGGGATCAAGCCGGATTAAGCCAGATGTCGGCCCAGGGTAGAAGTCAGCAGATTTGACCTCCCAGGAGTTGCATCCGAAGAAGTCGATCTTGGCTCGTCCACCTGGCTGGCCTGCGAGAGCTTGGGCTCATGATCCGCTGCCTCGTCGCCGACCCCCTCCCCCCTCTCGCCTGCCAGGGGGTCCGGGGCAGGCACAGGCCAGGGGGGCACGACGGGTTCGGAGAGCATTCGACCTGTCTCCGTTGGTCCTCAGAAAGCGTGTTCACGCCAATGTTTCCCGCTGCGTGAGCGGCGCTGAATTCCTTCCCTCCTCCCGCGGCCGCTCCTCTCTTTCCCTCCTTCCCCCCTTGCATCCAAGCAATTCGCAATGTCGCCACCCGGTTTGCCCGAGCGCGCGTGCGGACTGCCTCTGCCGCGCTGCGACGTTACAAGTGCTCACACCAACAAGCGCCTTGCCCACCGAGGACCTTCAACACGACGCACGCGGCGCAGCGAGGGCCGCAACAGGCGGCGCGCTACCGGCGGAGCTGAGCGAGGCAATACACACACACACACACACACACACACATCGGGACCCAGAGATCTGACGTCTTGATGTTTTCAATACTGGGTCCCCAAACATCTCGACCCATTCCCCAGGGCCGATGTTCAATCCATAGCCGTTTTTGACGGTACCTGAGCCCCGAGAGGGCCTCCAGAGGTCGAGCAAGGCGACACACCTCCGCCCCGATCTCTCAAATATATACAGTGGACCCCTAGGGACAGCACACGCCCTCAGGATCATCGGTGTGAGTGCGCAGCCTCTTCCTGCCTGGCTCTGGGACGTGTCGGCGGCGAGCCCAGGGGGGGGGAAGCTAGGAGGGGCGGGCCTTCTCAGAAGGCTCGCAAGGGCTCCGGCCTTCTGAGACAGTTTCCACGCCTTCCCCGAAGACACTGAACACTTCTCGGAAGGCGCGAGGGCTTCTGAGAAGTCCCGCCGCCTTCTAAGAAGGCCTTCTCCTCCTCACTTACCCCCTGGGCGCGCCGCCGAAGATCGGTCAAAATGGGTCCCTGGACCCGACCAGGCTTCTCACCCCGGATCGAGTTTCGGGGGTCCCGGGGCCCGAAAACGGCCCCCGGAGGCCGAAAACTATGAGAAACCGCCTCGAAGTTCGAACCTCGAAGTTCCCCTCCTCGCTCGCTCGCCGCCGAACGTGTCCCGGGACCTCTCGGGCTCGAGCCTCGGCGACTTGAGCATCCAGAGCCCTCACAGCGAGCCCGTCGCCGTGCCGCGCGGCGCTGCCCTCGACGGCGCGCCCCTGCGCAGGCCGAGGAGAGGCCGGCAACGGGAGCCCTCACGGCGCAACCTCGTCGCCGTCGCTGCCGCTGTCCTCCTGAGCCGGGCAGCCGCGCTGGCCCCCCTCCTCGTGGGCGTCGCTTCGTGGGAGGGTGGGGGGGGGGGGCGGTGCGCTCGGTGCGCTTGTCGCTCGTGCTCGCTGAGAGGTGGGCTGGGGAGTTGCGACCCGTGCCGCTTCCTTCCACAAGACTATACTCCCCTTCCCCAGGGGGGGCAGCACGAGGGGGGAAGCAAATGTGCACTTCTCGGGCCCCAATTGGGCCTCCGCTTGGGCCCTCAAGAGCCCTTTCTGTAGGGGCCCTCACGGGCCCCTTTTCTGCAGCCCTTGCTGCTCCCCAATTTGGCGTATTCCGGAAACCCAAAAACGTTCTCATCTCTTGGGGGCGCATCGTTTGCTTCAGCCGCCTTCCGCCGGCCTTCCGCCGGCGGAGCCGCCGCTGTTCTACTTCCGCCGACCTTCCGCCGGCCTTCCGCCGCCTTCCGCCGCGGAAGAGATTGCAAGTCCGTCCATCCTCGGAGGCAAGGCCCTTTCTGGAGCACCCCATGTACCCGTGTCCCCATTACGCGGCGCCCAGTCCTCGTCCGACGAGGGGCCGCCGGTCATCGACGAGGCGGCTCCGCCAGCGACGGCCCGAGGAGCAGAAAGCACGGCACGAGCATAAGCGTTGGGAGGGCCGCGCGGGCGTGTGCTCGGAGGCCCGACGAGGGGGCACGAGTGAGCATCAGAGCCAGCCGAGAGATCAGAAGTGGCGCCACAGAGTCATCCCCAGACCCCCTCGCTTTGTGAGAAAATCACGACATGAAGTTTTTCACAATTTTCGGCCTCTGGGGACCTTCGCCGGGCCTCGGGACCGTCAAAAAACGACTCAGGATGAAAAAATGGTCCCCGTGAGTGGGTCGAGACCCATGGGGGTCGACGCTGCGAAAAGATCATGACGTTGGGGGTCTGGGTCACTGACACTCCAAGCTGATTCGATCACGGATCCGAGACTCACTGTTCTCTCATTGGCTGCATGACATGCGCAGCATGCTTTCGCCTCCTGGCGGAGCCTCGGGCGCCACCCCTGGCGCGCTTCGCGCGCAAGGGGAGGGGGGGTCCAGCGCTGGCCCAAACAAATCCGCGCGGACCTCCGAAAGTCTATGCATATGCTGCTTTCTGCTCTTCTGGATGGTGCCCACCAAGGCGCACAACGAGACCAGGGGGGGAATGCTCATGTCGAGTACTTCGAGGGTGAGCCGAAAGCCCACCAGCAGAAGAACCGTGCCCATGTAGAACCGCAAACTGGGCATCTCGTCCACGAGCTGCACGAGCACCACAAACAGGGACCGCAAGCACATCAGAGCGAAGCTCACAGCCGAAATGATAACGAACTTGTCGCTCGTTATGTCGAATTGGGCGGGCATAGAATCCACCGCAAAAATCACGTCCACCACTTCCACGGCTACCAGCGTCAACGCCAGGGGCGTCAAAGTGAGACACCGCCCCGTGGTGTCCTGCTCCACCAAGAAGCGATCCCCATGGTAGGAGTCAGCCACTGGCATGCATCGCTGTGCCAAATGAACAATTCCGACGTTGCCCGTGCCCAGCTCTGCATCCGACGGCTCCCGCATGGTGCGGTACCCCTGATACATCATGATCGGCACGAGAGCCAGCACCAGCCACTTGTATCTGCACAGGCTCTGGCCAAACACGAACAACAACAGGCAGCGCAAGGCCATGGCAGTAAACCAACCCCAGAACAGGCATCTGTGGATGCTCGCCTTCGGTGTCTTGAAGTACTCGAAGACCAAATAAAATCCAAAGGCGTTGTCCGCGCTGAGGCTTAGCTCCAGCAGGTAGCATGCGAAGAAATTCCAAGCATCCTCGGTCGAGCGCGCCGCCGCGGCGTGGATGCCGCCGAAAACCGCCGAACCCGCCAGGCAGACCACGGTACGCTTGACGGCCATGGACAGAAGACCAAAAAGACGGCCTAAGCTTGGAGGCTGGGATATGGACACCAACACCAACACGGGGTGCCTCCACCAGGGGAAGATGATCCTAGAGTTCGGTGCTGGTGGTAATCTTTCGGCCACCTGGGAAGCCCGAATATTACCACCATCATCGAGATCGGGATCATCCCACCTCGGCTGAGGCAAACCGCCCATGGTGGTGTTGGCGCCAACCTCTGGGCCTCCGATAAGCAGAAACTTTCGCGGGGTCGCACGGACATCTGGGATCGGCGCTGGGCCCCCCGTCTCCCCGGCGCGCGGAGCGCGCCGGTGGCGGCGCCGGCGGCGCCGGCAGAGGGATCCAGCGCCGATACAAGAAATCCCCTGAGATCCGACGTTGCCCAAAAAATGCACCACCGCGAAACATCACGACTGGAGACCTAGACCCCATAACCTGCAGCAAGTTACGAGCCAGACCAGTGTGTCATGGCCCCAGGGCCCGATACTGGCCAACAAAAAAAAGCCGGCGTGAAAAAATGCAGAGGCCAGATCTCGGGGTCCGCGAGAACCTCCGAGAGTTTGTGCTCGTGCCGACGTTTGCTCTTCGGCTGGACCTCTGGCCCTGCGTGAACGAGGGCGCGCGGCCTGCACCGTCGCCGCCGTCGCGGCGGGAGCTGCAGGGCGACGGGATCTACACATGTCCACTGCCCCCGGCCAGGCCCGTTATGAGGCAAGGGGCGGTGCATGCGCCTTCCCGGCTTGGCCAGGGAGGCACGCCCAAATCTCCGGCGATATGACCTGTTCAACCCGGGCGTCCTTCCCAGATCTCGGCTTCCGGGGCCCGCTATCGGGCCACGGGACTATCAAAAACGGATCTGGGACGAGAGCCCAAACATGTGACGTCCTGATTTTCGTGAGTACGGCGCCCCCGGAAACCCCGAGGCCCTTTCCCAGGGACCGGCTTTTCATCCTGAGTCGTTTTTGGACGGCCTCGGGGCCAGGCAAGGACCTGCAGAAGCCGGAAACGGTGAAAAACCTCCGTCCTGATTATTTGTTTAACGACGCGATCATGTCTGGGAACCCAGACATCCGACGCTCCAAAAAAATTGGAGCGGGCGGTTTTTTGCTAATTTCGGCCTCCTGGGGCCCTGGCTGGCACCGAGACCGTCCAAAAAATGACCCAGGAGGAAAAATGGCCCCAGGGAAACTGTCCAGACCTCCGGGGCCCACGCATCGAAACAATTGGAGCAGCCGGATGTCTGGGAAGCTACCCCCGGGGGGGGGGGGAGGGACCTCCCTCGGGCCGCGACACGGAAGAACACAAAAAAAAACGTCGCATGATGTCTGCTGGGCCTATGCCGCTCCCAAGGCCCTGGATGGTCCAGCCAAGGGCAGCAAGCCTGCAGATAGACCCTGAGATCCGACGTTCCGAACAACAACAAATCCGAGGATATGACGTGATCCAGCGCAGATGCGGATAAGAGTGAGGGGGCGGTCGGGACGTCGGCAATTTGCGAGTCTCTGCAGAAGCCCGCCGCAGGCGCCGAAGTGTCACACATTATACAACGAGCCCGCCGCAGGCGCCGATTTTTTCGTTGAACCAATGTGGGTCGGTCGCGGGTGGGTCGCAAATGGGTCGCAAATGGGTCGCGGGTGAATCGCGGGTGGGGTGGGCCGCGGGTAGGTCGCTGTTGGGTCGCGGGTGGGTCGCGGGTAAGTCGCGGGTTGGTCGCGGGGTGGGTCGCGGGTGGGTCGCGGGTGGGTCGCGGGTGGGTCGCGGGTGGGTCGCGGGTGGGTCGCGGGGTGGGTCGCGGCTGGACCGCGGGGTGGGTCGCAGGTGGGTCGCTGGTTGGGTCGCGGGTGGGTCGCGGGGTGGGTCGCGGGTGAGTCCCTGGTTGGGTCGCGGGTGGCTGGCGGGGTGGGTCGCGGGGTGGGTCGCGGGGTGGGTCGATGGATGGGTCGCGGCTTGGGTCGCGGGTGGGTCGCGGGTGGGACGACGACAACAACAAACAATAACAACAACAACAACAACAACAACAACAACAACAACAACAACAACAACAACAACAACAACAACAACAACCACAACCACAACCACAACCACAACCACAACCACAACATCAACAACAACAACAAAAACAACAACAAAAACAACAACAACAACAACAACAACAACAACAACAACAACAACAACAACAACAACAACATACAACAACAACAACAACAACAACAACAACAACAACAACAACAACAATTACTAGCACGTGGGGACACTCCGTTCTCACCAGTGCCAGGGTTTTCATACGACGCCCGCCAATACCCCCACTTTGTGGGGGGGCCGGTTCAAGCTCTACCACATTTCCAAACGACTCTTCGCCACCACCCACACCCAGCTTCCCGCCCTATGACGTTCGGACACTTCACTTCGTGGCCTGCGGACGACCGTGGCTACTACACTGGCGCATGGGTACAGTGACTTGTTGTGGTAACATTTTTCGAGGACCTACGGTGCGATTCGTATGATTTTATGTTGCGCGGTGCTAAAATTCCTAAGAAACCCAATGGTTTTTGAAGATTTCGGCGTGCGCGCGCGAAGAAAAAACGAATGTGTCCCGCATGGTATTATTTGACAGGGATGATGGCCCTGGCAGGTGCGCAACCGTTGTCGCAGAAGTTCGAAAAAGTTGCTCGCAAAAGCCCGTTTGACAGAAATGTTTAAAAAGTGTTGGGTTTCCTACGAATCCGCAAGAGCGCGCGGGATGAGATTTTGACATTTTTTTGTTGAAAAACCATTGGTTTTTTGATGTTTTTATGTTAAAATCGCTCCGAACACTAAGGTTTTGGAAGGATTTCGTCTTGCGCGCGCGAATGTCCACTTTACCTTATTTTTTGCAAGGGATTCTTGAAATTTGATTATATTAGAACAAGAAATGTCATTTTCTATTGTTTTTTGCAAGGGAAAGCGGATTACAACAAAACAACCGGATCCTGTACACACCCTCTTTTCTGAGGCTTCCTCACGAAAATAATGAAAATGTAGCTGCGGCCTAGGCGGCGCAGGGGGGGCGCGCACCAGGGGGCCCAACAATAATTATTCTTTAGAATAAATAATGTTCAACAACAAAAACAACAAAAACAACAACAATCATCATTTCAAGACTGTTCGCCCTTATCTGCTCGAGTGTCAAATAACGCGTAATTCCCAAACCCTCGGTACCCGCCCTCTTCGTCTTCGATCGAAGTCCTTTTGGGGGGTATGCCTTGCTTCCCTGCAGGCCAGGCCCCGGCAAGCGGCGGGGCGGCCGCGGACCGTCGGCCTGGCCAGCGGCAGCGCTGATCGGCGGGGCAGCCGCGGACCGTCGACCCGACCCCAAGAGGGACGGACAAGGGACCGACCACGACGACGACGACGACGACGACGACGACGACGACGTCGACGACGACGACGACGACGACGACGGCGACGACGACAGCGACGACGACGACGACGACGAGCGAAAGCGAGAGCGAGAGAGAACGACAGCAGGGCCACGAAGGACACGAAGTAGACCACGAAGGGCGACAGCGGGGACACGAAGGGAATGCGTATGGGGCCACGAAGAGCGCGAACGAGCGGGGGCCACGAAGGGCAGATAATGCGGGGCCACAGAAGGCAACGATGGGGCCACTGAGGATAGCAACTGGGCAATGTAGGACAGTGGGGGGACCACAAACGGCGACAGCGGGGCCACGAAGGGCATGCACATGGGGCCACAACGGGCGCGAGCAAGCGGGGGCCACGAAGGCATACGTATGTTGGGCCGCGGAGGGCATGGACGGGGCCACTGAGGGCAGCAACGGGGCCATGAAGGGCAGCGAGGGGGCCACGAAGGGCGACAGCGGGGCCACGAAGGACATGCATATGGGGCCACCGCGGGCGCGAACGAGCGGGGGCCACGAAGGGCATACATACATGGGGCCACGAAGGGCAGCGAGGGGGCCACGAAGGGCTGCAACGGGGCCGCGAAAGGGCAGCGAGGGGGCCACGAAGGGCTGCAACGGGGCCACGAAACAAAGCGAGGGGGCCACGAAGGGCTGCAACGGGGCCATGAAGGGGAGCGAAGGGGCCACGAAGGGCTGCAACGGGGCCACGAAACAAAGCGAGGGGGCCACGAAGGGCTGCAACGGGAACACGAGGGGCAGCGAGGAGGCCACGAGGGGCTTCAACGGGGCCACGAAACAAAGCGAGGGGGCCACGAAGGGCTGCAACGGGGCCACGAAACAAAGCGAGGGGGCCACGAAGGGCTGCAACGGGGCCACGAAGGGCAGCGATATCCCGATTCCGAAGTAATCTGTGAGGGAGTCCTAAGCGTGAGCGCGACTCCTAAGTGCCTGAGTGTCGGGAGCGCGGCGCTTGAGTAAATTGCAAGAAATTCCAACGCAAGGGCGCTATTCGTCAGTAAATTGCAAGCAAATCTCCAGCGAGAGCGCGACTCCAGAACGCCGGGAGAACGATTCCTGCATACATAGAAAGGAAGTCCCAAGCGAGAGCGCGATTCCTGAATACAATGCGAGGAAGTCTCGGGCGGGAGCGGGGGTCCTGGCTAAATTGTGAGGAAGTCTTTAGCGGGAGCCGTTGTTGTTGTAACCCGGGGGCCAGGGGCACAGTTTCAGTATCAAGACTTTCCCTGTCAAAAAAAACAGGCGCGAGCGTCGAGGGGCACACTTTGTTTGAGAAAAAACCGTATGCACCGGTCGGGGGGATCAACCATACTTATTCTTCAGAAATGAAAATTCAACAACAACAACAACAACAACAATCAGAACAACAAGAACAAGAACAAGAACAAGAACAACAACAACAACAACAACCACAACCACAACCATAACCATAACCACAACCACAACAACAACAACAACACAAAAACAAAAACAGCAACAACAACAACAACAAAAACAACAACAATTACTAGCACGTGGGGACACACCGTTCTCACCAGTGCCAGGGTTTTCATAGGAGGCGGGCAATACCCCCACTTTGTGGGGGGGCCGGTTCAAGCTCTACCAAATTTCCAAACGACTCTTCGCCACCACCCACACCCAGCTTCCCGCCCTATGACGTTCGGACACTTCACTTCGTGGCATGCGGACGACCGTGGCTACTATTCAGGGCCCCGCGGCCGACGACGACGGCGTGCGCGCGCGAAGAAAAAACGAATGTGTCCCGCATGGTATTATTTGACAGGGATGATGGCCCTGGCAGGTGCGCAACCGTTGTTGCAGAAGTTCGAAAAAGTTGCTCGCAAAAGCCCGTTTGACAGAAATGATTAAAAAGTGTTGGGTTTCCTACGAATCCGCAAGAGCGCGCGGGATGAAATTTTGACAATTTTTTTTTGAAAAACCATTGGTTTTTTGATGTTTTTATGTTAAAATCGCTACGAAAACTAAGGTTTTGGAAGGATTTCGTCTTGCGCGCGCGAATGTCCACTTTACCTTATTTTTTGCAAGGGATTCTTGAAGTTTGGTTATGTTAGAACAAGAAATGTCCACTTTAGCTTATTTTTTGCAAGGGAAAACCGATCGTAACAACACAACCGGATCCGGACCAACCCGTTTTGCCTGAGACTTCCTCACGAAAATGATGAAAATGAGGCTGCGGCCTAGGCGCGGCGGGGGGGTCGTGCACCAGGGGCCCCAACAATAATTATTCTTAAGAAGGAATAATGTTCAACAACAACAACAACAACAACAACAATCATTTTACCCGAACGCGTGGTGTTCTCCCCAGTGCCAGGGTTTTCATACGACACCAGGCAATACCCCCACTTCGTGGGGGGGCATTACAAGCTCTACCAAATATCCAAACGACTCTTCGCGACCACCCAAACCCAGCTTCCCGCCCTATGACGTTGGGACACTTCACTTCGTGGCGTGCGGACGACCGTGGCTACTACACTGGCGTGGGGTACACACCCACAGAACTTGGTCACTTATTCGGGGCGCGCATGTGCCCAGCATGGTGCAATTGTGCCATACAATACATAATACAGAGAGACGAATGTGTCC